TCTTCTTTGGCCAATTCCAAGCGTCGTTGCAGCGTGGATCTCGGCACCTGGTGCTGCCGTGCCGCTTTGGCAATGGTCTCGCCATCTTGGTAGGCCAATGAAATTGGCCCCTTTAAATTCCGGATACCGCTGAATTCCGGATACTTCTTGACTCCCTGCACATTTAATATTGACTTCGTGACACAACATGTTACAGGTGTTTAATTCAAGAGAATTTGCTACTGAAATTTGATTGGCTATCACAACCTGCCCATAAATTGGCGCTTGCCCATAAATTGGCTCGTTACGTTAGTACTTTCTAGAGGAGTCCGATATGAAATAGTACGTGCAAAAGTAACAAATAAAGGTAATTTATGCAATGGTTAAACCAGCACTAATGAACTCTAAAAATCTTCTTTTTTATATAATCTAAATATAAATTTTCAAAAAAAATCTTCTTTAAATTTAAATTTAATAAATAAACTCTTTCAATTTTAATAGAATATATCTTTTAAAAAATTCTTTTTTTTGTAAGTGGCAACTACTACAGTTTCCCCCCGCATTAGGAGACAGTTGCACGAAATTATTTTTCAGGGGTATATTGTCATGACGAGTATTTAGTTACGAGGTGGTTTGTTGATATCTGTTTGGCCGTGAAGACACATAATTTTTGCATGCATTGTGGAGGATCGTGGAGTGGATCACGCATTCGGCAATTCGACCGCCGTCGCGAACATGACGGCCACTGCACAAGACCATCGCTTCGCCCCCGCACCGCATCTCTGGGCTCTTGGTGTCGGCGCCGTCATCAGTGGCGACATTTTTGGGTGGCAAACCGCGCTGTCGGCTGGGTTCCTTGGCCTGGTCGTCAACCTCGTGATTGCGTCGGCGCTGTACATACTCCTGTCGTTCTCGATCGCCGAGCTGTCGACGTCCATTCCTTGTGGTGGTGGGCCGTATGCATTTGCCCACCGCGCGTTGGGGTCGACCGCGGCATACTTTGCTGGGCTGGCCGAAGTGCTCAAGGTGGTGGTGACGGTCGCGGTGATTTCCGTCGGCATCGGGTCGTACATGAACCAACTCCTGCGCCTGGAAGAAGGCAATGGCCCAATCTGGTGGGTT